GAATCATACAATTATTAATCAAAACATTCAAACTTTGAGATTGATATGTGGATTAATTGGTGGCATTCTCAATCAATTATGTTTCCAGACTGAGCAAAAGAAAGAACCCTTTCATTGTCGTTCTTCAAAAACAAGAGAATCCAAGGAGGGAACTGAGGGGTTTTGATATCTTTTTTTCTCTTCTTTTGACTTTTGCCCTCTCTCATGCAGAAAACAATAATAATAATAATAATAATAACAATAACAATACCTCCAATCAGGTCAGGCTCAATTGATGATTGGGGTCGTAATGAATCGTAATCGGTCGATGTTAAAAATGGCTAGTTACGCAGAACGGTATCTACGGAATGAACTTTCGAGGTGTGAAAGGTACGAAGTAATAGTTTTATAGTTAGTTAGTTAGTTACCCAGGCCAGGTACAGTTACAGTTCCCAAGTTCCTACTTCCAACTCGCAAGCCCTTGGATGCGTGCGGGCTGAGTAACCGTCCGACTAGTTTCTGTTTTTGCTTTTGCTTTTCGATGCTTCTCTCTAGGATGGGTGTCTCCAATCAGCAATCAATCAATTCCAGGATCCCAAAGACCATATATATACAATCATGTCCGAGCATACAGAAGAGTACCGGAAGGTAGGAAGTAGTCGCTCAGTACCAAGATGATGATGTGAACTGGATCGAGTCTTTCGTTGCGAAACTTGGGGGAAGCTGCACATGGACACCAACTGATGTCATGCGTTGTCTTGTTGTTAGATGGTCGTCGGAGAACCAAGGGAGTCAGTCGGAGCGGGAGTTCAAATGCAGAAAAAGAAAAAACGGAGAAGGGACAAAGGAAATGAAGAAGGAGAAAGAAGAAGTAGAAGTAGAAGGAAGGTTCAACCTAATTCCACGCTATGCTATGTGGAATCGATAGAAAAGAAAGTTCATAGTACAGAAGCAAAGCAAGAAGAAGAAAGAAAGAAGAAGAAAAAAAATGGTAAAATGCAAGCTAAATGAAGAATCAATCAGTCTAGTCGAATAATTCAATATCACATTTTCTTCATCGATATATCGGCCCCCATTCACTCTATAATATCTTCCATGATAGAAATCAATCTATCCATATTTTTGGAACATTCTAATTTCATTTTTTCATTTATTTTCCGTTACAGAAAAAGGAAAATGTGTCTGGTATTTCAAAGACATGGGGTTCCTGGACATTCAGGAAAAGCCGACTTCATCACCAGGTTTGTTTACCCAGCCAGCCATGTCGAACATTTTACAATAAATTTTGAAGCGTACGATTACCATGTTCACCACGAGGGAAGTGGGCTCGGTATCGGTGGGACAAGATGATTTGGCTAACAGAGAGTTCCTTGTACGGAGTAGACTCTCGACATACTCTCTCTAATCCGCACTGAATGTTGCCATGGGAAATGCAAAAAGCATAAAAGCTGACCTAGGAAACGAAATATACACCAATAGAGTAGAGCCCCTTTCTCTTCTGGAGTGGAAGATATGTTCATGAATCATTTGACGAATAGCGTAGGTATTGTTTTCAACTCGACTTTGGTTTCTGGTCAACTGTATCCGAAAAGGGGGAAAAGGATCACAAGTCAGAATATTGATGATGAGGTAGGTCTAAAGGAGCCATCCATGCATTGATTCACTGGTCACTGGGTAATGGGGTCTAGAATCTGGAGGAAACTCCGGCATCTTGTGATATCCATCTATCATCTATTGTAACGCCGTCCCACGTTTGCCCTGATATGATTTTCCCTATCAGTCCAGTTCATAAGTCATTAGCACCGACTTGTTTCCCATCGCCGACTTCTTGTCTACGAAACTAATCAAGCCGACTTCACCCCGCATTCATGAACCAACCGCTTTTCTTTCCGTAAATTTCGTAAATTTCGTAATCAATAGCCCGTTACGTCGTCACACTAAAGGAGTCTCCGTCGATAAATTTTATCCTTAAAAAAGTTTTCCGGTCAATCCTTCTCCACCAGATTTCAATCCGCCCACCAGTCCATCTCCACTAGAGTCGGCTCCCCCCAAGATTCCATTTGCAAGGCCCTCTCCGTTCGTCTTCAATCCGCCAATGGGTCCTTTGCCTTCTCTAACATTTTGTGCTTGTTGATTCCCCTTCAAGTCACCTACAGAAATATCGCATGAGCATTAATCAGTTATAGAGGGTCCGATGACTAAGGAAGACAAGCAAGAAGTACGAAGTAGACTCAAATTGTCTAGCATGCAGGGGACATGATGCTACTTGCGAGGAAATCTGTTCCTTCTTGAACTTCTTGAAGACCCATCTTCTTTGCTTCAGCCTTGGCCTTGAATTTAAATGCGAAAACGCCCAAGTCCTCGATATAATCATCGAGAAGTCCCATGGCATAGGCACCTCCAACGAGAATGACGATTGTTGTGATGGTCGCAAGGACGACATAGAGTGTTTCAGCCATATTGGATTGGATGGTTGGAAAGTGGTATTAGAAGTTGAGAGGAGAATATAGTTGTTGTTTGAGGGATTCAAATGGGCGTAATCGATTGTTCTGCGCAAGAAGAGTTCTGTTTATGGAATGAAGGGAATAGGAAATGCTAGATAGATCTTAATATCTCTTATATATTCAAATCAAACCTACCTTTCCATACCCATCAACCTACCTGTCCTGTTCTTCTTTGTTGCTGCATATGACGTCTTGCTGATTCTTGGAAGGGAATATATTACGCGGAAACAAGTTTATGTGGATATCTTTCTATCGAAAGCAGGTTGTTCAGAGAGAATGATGGTCTATAAGCCCAGGAAATTGAAGTCATCCTTTACCGTGATTCCCTGATCACATTTTTCTAGAAAACTACGAGATACAATGACACAAGAGTTGACGTTGGCGATAATTCATATGGTGAAGGGGAGAAACTTTCAAAGCTTCCGATGAAAGCTCGCTTTGAATTGATGCACCAAGCTCAAACCCGTTAGCTAGTGTATTGGAGTCTATGGTCACGTGCATTACATTTAATCTGATGTTGCTAATGGATTCAAAGGTCCAGTCGAATCCATGCAGGATCAAATTTACTAGGTAGGTAATCTTCATCATGCTTTTGTGCCTCTGGCATCACTTAGTAATGCACGTGTAGCGGTCCACCGGCGGTCTTACATCTCACGTTAGTAAAATATGGGTCTGCGCCGCTGAGGATGATGGTCACCCTGCTGTCAGGGCAGGCAGGAGGGAATCCCAACGACACTTTCTCTAATGTTATCGAGACATTTTGATACAAACTCTTTTCAAAACTCGCAAACTTTATATATAAGGTTGTGTACCGATAGCTTCCGAGGAAATTAATGAACCTTCAGAGTTGGAAATCATGGTTTCCAAAACAATCATTCTTGGGGCATTGACTGTCATTTCCGGTGTCTTGTATCAAACAATCCTGAAGGATTGGTTGTACCTCAATTTCGGAGTAGGACGAATTCATAACAAACTCGAAGACTATCCGTTTACATGTCGACGAGTAGAGCATCCGCTTCTAGAATCTTGTGAGGATCTGTTCCTCGATCACGAGGATCGTACATTGTATGCTGCATGTTCGACAATTGCAAGTCGAAGGGGCTGGGGACCGGGGTGAGTCAATATAAACTCTATGTCTGTAAGGCACGACATACTTACAGAATTGTCAGAGGAAATCTTTACAATGTGTCCCAAAGAACTTTGGAAGATCACGTATCAGTACTTAAAATCGATGAGCCAGGAGAGGATGGACTCTATGGACTACACACGCTGGAAATCTCAGGAGCGTATCGAGGGGTGGATAGTCATAACTCCATTGATGTCCATGGATTTGATGTTGAGTTCTTGTCTGACTCTCGATTGAGATTTTGGATGGTCAATCATCGACCAGCAATTGATGAATCTGGCAATTTTCTCGATGCGACAAAAGTAGGAGCGAACTCCACCGTGGAAGTTTTCGACTTGGTTCCTGGATCTAAAAAATTGGAATTTGTCAAGACCGTTGCCAACCCAATTATAAAAACGCCAAACAACATTGCCGCGACCGGAGATGGTGGTTTTGTGTTCACTAATGATCATTCTACAAAAACCGGACTTGTAAGTAGTCCTTTACCATTGATATACTAGGTCAGATTTGCTCACAGACATATAGATTCGCTCATTAGATATGTTTATTGGACGAGGAAATATTGCCGTTTGTGGGTCTGACAATCAATGTCATTCTGGTCCCTCCAATCTAATTCCCAATGGCATTGTTCGAGGACAAGATGGCCTCTTTTATGTCGCCTCATCTATCAAAGGAAAAGTTTTCGTCTATGCCTTGGAAGAAAATAATAAATTTACTCAAATTGACGAAATCGATCTGCAGATGCCATTAGACAATCTTTCCGTAGATGCTAATGGCGACATCTTGGCAGCCGCTTTTCCAGACATCCTCAAGCTAGCAAAAACATTTGATGATCCTACAATCAGTGCCCCAGTTACGGCTTTCAGAATTAGGAAATTCGATACCGAAGATGGAGGGTGGAGATATGTGGTTACAAAAGTTCTAGAGGATATTGAGGCGAGTGTTCTGTCGGCTGCTACTTCGGTCGTACATGATCCTAAAACGGGGAGGTTATTCTTTGGTTCTATTATGGCACCATTTATTGTTGTGTGCGACAAGATTTAGGGTTGTTCATCCGCGATGATTGTGAAGCGGGAAGTGTGCGGACACAATCGATAAACAGGGTTTTTGTTGATGATTCGATAACTTTTTACTCATATTGAGATGTGCTATATAGTTTCTTCTCTATCATCTCAAAAGTTCACAAGTCCGCCAGCTCAAATTCCAAGTCGTGCAGAAATTCCCCTCAACTAACCATCACATATGTACATAGAAATCCTTCCACTTTCCAAAACCCAATCCCAAAAATAAAAGCTCCATTCCTCTTCCAAATATCAATATCCAGAAATCAAACCACCCCTCCCTCACAAATCTACATGAATCCCTCCAGCGGACTCCCCAAGATAAAATCTTCAACGGGACTGGTCACCAAATCTCGCGTCATAAGCGAAAGTCCCACATTCCGATTCTGATGATTCGAGACCATGGAATCGATGGTTGTTGTAATTGATAATTTGGGGGGCTGTCCCGGATCTATTTGACGAGAATGGAAAATTGGATAAAGAGTTTGAGGGGTAGATTGGGGGTTGTGGCGCTGTTGTTCTCGGATCTGATGTGGAGGGGTTGGGATGTTTGGGGGATGAGACTGTGAGGTTCGTATTGGTTGTGGAAGTGAGAGTGGTGTCCTGGGATGATTCTAGGAGGAAAGTTAGTGGGAGTGGGGTTCTGATAATGTGGGAGTGAAGATGGAGATGTGAGGAATCTTACGTTTTAAGGTATTTCCATCCAGAAATTCCATTTCCCGAGCATGGGAAACCACGATATCCCTAGTATTTCGCAAGGAACTCTCCATTGGGATATTGCTTATCGATATTTTTCTACAATGGTATCGACGTCGAGAAAAATCACTTTCCAGTAACAGTCAGAAAAGAACTGGCGGACGGGACGGGAGTGAGATGTGGAGAGAGACATGAGGATTGATGGGATTGGATGTACGATGTTTTAATGGGTTGGGAGAGTCGAGGACATACCTTTAATATCTCACTGTGTATGATTATTAATGGATGGGGCGTTGGAAATGATGGAATGGCCGGGAAGGAGACCGGAGGCGTTACGCAGTTATGGAGGGAGAAGAGGAGATTTGACCACTTGGGTACTACAAATCAAGAATTTGAAAAGATCGAATTCTTCTGTGAAAGGGGAGAACAATGGGAGATGGAATGGGACTTTTGGAAGAATTAGCATTGCTGTGTTTATGCATAGTAATTATTATTTATATATCTTCAATGCAATTCTAGGTTGTAGGCAAGAGGTTCGTGGTGGCATTTCTATTTTCGGATGCTGGAGGATTCACACGCACGTGGAGGGGAGCGTGGAGTGGTATTAGTGCTAGAGGGAAGTTGGATTGCGGTGGAGGAGTATCGTAGGCTGTGAATCTCGAGAAATCGTAATAAAGTTTTCCAAGGCAGACTAATAGTGTTTGAATGGGATTCGGTGTGTGGAGAAGTATAAGGTTATTATCTTTGTGAATATTTGTAGATGGTTGTAAGGGTGGACGATTGGGTCTTTTATCACGGTCATTAGGTTCTTTGCTGGTGACCATTGAAAGAGACCTTTGCAGCGAATTCTTGCATATCTGAGATCATGAAATTGATTTTATTAAAATCTCTTCATAATATGAGTATTTTAATGATGAAGTGATGAGCAGCGAGGAAAACTCACGAGAGTTGTAATCTTATATTAGCCGCCGAAAGATCGTTTAAAGGAACACTAACAATTTCAAGAGAAACTTAAAGAGTGGAGTATAGAACTTAAATGTGAACTTTGTTATTATCCTGGTGCTTCTGAAACAAGGTGATCTTTATTTTTATTGTGAGATCATGACATTTGTCCTCGTATCTTCTTATGTGTGAAAAGTGGGAGTTTGTGTCGTTAGTCCTACATTCTCATGACTTTACAGGCGTTTGGAAATGTGACTTTTGTACTTACTTGGGTTGATTCTCCCATGTCAGTTTGATGGTTGTAATCACTAGATGTCTTGAGTTCATGTCGTCATCTAGGTAGAGGAAGAATTGAGCATTGATTCGAAAGCACCCAGCGCTTGGGCAGCGAAAGAAATTAATCGGTATTGTGATACCTCGACGCCCCTTTATTCGAATCTCGGCAAAACATATCTATACAAAATCTCTACCGCAAAATTTCGAATTAAGTTGTCAGGCAAAATCTTGAGGTTTCTGAATATGATAATGACGTTGCTGCTGCTGCTGTCAGACAAATTCCATGTAAGCGCCGAGGTCGCTCTTGACCTAATCGTCCGTGCTATCGGTGACTTCACGTAAACAACTGACATCTCATTCCTACAGTGTTTTCTTATCGAAATCACTGCCTAGATACTAATGAGGGTTTTATGGTTTTGTGACTCAAACAATTCATCCCTATTTCAACTCCAACCTAATTTTAATGTCAATGATAACTTCACCTCCCTCCAATTCTTCCAATCCCCGACGTAGGAAACGTAAAGATCAAGCCTGTGAACCTTGTCGGAAGGCCAAAACACGCTGTGGTCATACAACTCTCATTTGCTTGAGGTGTCAACGAAAAGGTGCCGCTGCAAATTGTGTATATGTACCCTCGCATCCTCCGAGTCATTGTCCTTCCTCTGAACACTCGATATCCAATCCTTCTCATCCCGTCGGAGATATCACAAACGGCTCCTTAGTGTCGCCGCAAACCTCTGGATCTGTAGATTCGCGGTTAGATCATGCTGCAGCATCAAGAAAAGTTTTGGGGTTTTATGGTCCCAAGAGTTTTTCTGCACCGTTTCTTGACAATGAAAATGGCCTCGTGTCGGATGTCGATGATGAAGGAGAGTGTACATTTTCTTCAGGTTCGATAACGTCGCCTCCCATGTTATCTATAGTCACGAATGGACAACAAACCGGGGAAATATCTTTGGGGATGAAAGTTCTGAGTCAACTTCCTGACTAAGTTACTTGTGAGTCATTTATGGAAAATTATACTTTGAAATCAATAGAGTATGCTTTCCACAAGCCTACTATCCTGCACTGTATGAAATCTCTTTGGTCCACCTTTGGTCAGAGTCTACGACATCCAAGGAGGCCAGAAAGACTCAGAGAGGTAGCATACTTGTTGAGCAAAAATACCAGTGCAGAATTTCCTGATGCTGAGAATGGAGAAATTTGGTTATCTTCAATGTCGGGTCTGAACTTTAGGTGGGAAATCTTGGGTATACTATTCTGTGTATTGGGGCATCGGGCTGCTGGTATGCGAGACAAGGAACAAGAATCTTTTTTTGATACACAATCAGGTAGAAGAAAGGAGAGGCTTGTTTTTACCGAAGAGATATACGAGTGTGCCGAAGGCTGCCTACAAATATGTAGTAAGATGGACATAGGTAACATTCTTATGCTGAGTTTATTGTGGAAAACAAACACTCTTTAAAGTGAGATCATAGGAAATATGTGTAAGACTGATTCATTAGTGGTCAATGATGAATATATTGCTAATTGTAATGCTGCAGCCTTCAAATTATGGAGACGACAGGGAGACAAAATTCATTCTTGCTACAGCTCTCGGCCTTCACCATTGTGCCATTCGCCCTGATGCTAGAGTTACGATTTCGCTAGAGATCAAGAGACGTAAGAGTTATCGAACTTACTCACCGCACATTACTCATTTTACACACATTTTTTAATAAATTTAATAAATTTTCAATAGTAATTTATTAGTAAAAATCTATATTTGTATTAAGAATAGTAATTAAACTTTGTATTCTAATTACATTATTCAATTTAAAGTCAATCTTTTTGTATATGTTTTAAATTCAATAGGGTTAATCTTCTTCTAAAACATTTTTAATTTACATTTTAATTGTTTATAATAGAAGTATGTATAAATGGAAGCTTTTTTATTTCCTTTTTTATTTCCTTTTATACCTTCTCAATTTGATTAAGATCTAATAAGGAAGGAAGTTAATTGAAGTCTTGTACATCATGCTCTAATCAAGTTAGTCTAGTATAACTAGAGTGAACTTTCAATCTATCTTTTATAAAAATAAAAGAGGGCCTTAGTTCGTTGAATAATGAGAAAATAATAAATTGAAGAACCTGATTATAATATATTGAGCTAGTAATGTTTCTAGCTTCTGATTCTTTTATAAAAAGATTAATAGGGATTTATAGTTTTAACTAATTGTATTCTATACTATTACTAAAGCTTTTTCTAAACGATATATAGATTTAATATAACTTACATAGAATATCTTTTTTCATTAGAGTCATATGTTATTTAAACTCTTCTAGTCTTTTTTAACTCAAAAGAGCTTTCGTCTGATTATATAATCTTTCTTTAATCCCTCTCTTCTAGCTTAACAATAACGATATTACTAATACTCCATCATCAATAGAATTTAATAAAATGTAATCTCTTTTTTATTTATTCCTTTAATATAAAAGGTTTAGGATATACTATATAGCATTTGTAGCTATATCTATATAATTCTCAACGAATTGTATATATCGGAATTATTATCTTTAGTATATTTCTAACTTATTCGAAAATCATTCTTCTTTTACTTTAATCTTTACTTAGATATCTTATAATTCATTAAATCTCTTTAAATATTATTATAAAGGCTTTATAAATCTCTCCTTCACATGTAATTCGAGGTAAATTCAATTTAAATATACCTCTAGCTATACTTCGAAAAACATTCAAAAAAAATTCGATCTATCCCCAGGATTTTCTATCATCACATGTCTGAATTACTCTGGCATAATGAGGAGTATTTCAATTTCGATGAAATTTATATGAATCGTTACCGTCGCTAAATTCAATCATTTTCTTGAAAATTACAAAGAAAACTAATGATATTTGAATTTTTAATCAAATATTTCACTTAATAAGGTGTTAAGAATGAGGTGGCTAAGAAGTGCTTGCTTAAATATGCGGTGAGAAGGTTCCAGAACTCTTATATTCTCTGCTATATTTGTCAACGATAAGACATTATCGATCTTCATTAGTAGACCTCCTGGCTTGAGTCGTCGCTATAATTCATGCCCATTACCTCTTGATCTTGCAGATGAGATTCTTCTGGCTGGGAAAGAGACTCTTCAAGAAGCAGCGAGTAAGCTGGATGAGAATGGTTGGAACAGAGAGGGTAACATATATTCTTCCTCGAGAATTCGAGCATCGATGATGTATGGTGAGATCATAGATGAAATACTTGAGATCTCACTCGGGACTGTCAACCAATTCTCCGAGGCTCGTATAATGTAAGCTGGGCTCCGAAAATCAATTCAATATCTAACTGGATTAGGGACCTGCGAAAAAGGAACGAGAATATTCAGGAGCGGCTTCCACCGTGGCTTCGTCTTTCAAGCTCTACTCCGACCAACTCATCTACAACTACTCATTGGATACAGACTGCACTCAAATTCAATTGTCTTCAGTGCTCGTTTATCTTGGAACAGGTTTTCGTTAGGAAAGTCAAGGGTGATAAGCAACCACTGCTTGACATTTCGAGACAACTCTTGGTACTAACGGTGTCAATGTGGATTTCCAAAGATCGCTCTCTGACTCATTATTCTGATTATGACTGGATTGTAAGTAGTGACTCACAGTTGTGCTAGGAGAAACTAACAGAATCCTCAGAACATGTATTATGTAATTCCATCAGCAGGCGTCATTTGCGTTGAACTCATGAAAGAGATGGAAATCCCAGCAGCCCAGCAGCCCAACCGGCTATTTTTTGCCCCGATCAGAAGTAATCCAAAACCTTGGTCTACTAGTCGGCTTCCTGGATTGGGTAAGACCGACAGCCGCCAATCATGAGTTATGTGGAAGAATGCGTCAAAGTGTCAAGAGGACCTTAGACGAGATTCTTGATCCCCCTAAAATCGCCAATACTCCCAAGGTATCCACTTCTACTACACTTCAGATATCGAATCTTAGTTTCGAACCGATGGTCATGGACGATCTAGATTGGCTAGATAATATTGATTGGGCAAAAGGACCATTCGTGAATCTGACAATGGAGGGATATAATGAATTCTCTTGAATCGTGGAGTAGAATTTTCTGGTCCGAACTCTTGTCTTTATCTAGTGCCAATCCAAGCGTGTTTAACTTTGGAAACTTGGAGATCTTCAAAGACGTTTGGATGATGATGTACATTCTTCTTTAATGTCTGTAGTATTTGTAATGCACGTGAAAAGGAACATTGTAGATCACTTGAAATGTATGAAATATCCTTCATCATAAATTCCAGTAATCCAAAAATTTAGGTTGTTTAAAATATTGAGATTTTACTACATCCAATATTATTGCTTAAGAAGTGGCCGGTAATGGAAGACAGCTTTTTTCAATCTTTTAAAGAAATATCTGTCCACAAAACCTGTGTCGTTGAAAGCTGCCAAAAATAAATCTTGGGGAGGGGCTCCTAGAACGAATCCAGATTAGCATTTACTAGCATGTACTTGTCATCTATAGCTCGGGTCTAAAATCGAATTACCCCACAATTAGGGCTACCACTATACAGATTGAGGAGTAGTACATAAATGAGCCTTCTTGGAATTGCTTGAAAAAGTTGAATTTTGGAGTGCCTTGGGAATTAGAATATGTAATAGTATGTACCAAGAAAGTATAATTGTATATGATAGATGTTTAGATCATGAACTCGCTCTTTTCTAAGCTGGAATCATGTAATAAGAAAGGACTATAGTATGAAATTAAGCATTAGGACTTGAAATGGCAAGTACTGACGAGACAGGATCTACACACGGAAGTGTTGATCTAGTTTCTTGAGAACCTATAAATATGAAGTCTGCCCCTGCCATTTCTTTCTGATCTTTTCAGAACTCAAGTTACCACCTACACTTACCTACACTTATCTACACTCTGTTCGAATATCTCCGATATCTTAGACAACACTTCCTAATACTTATCTTACACTTACACTTCTTTGATATCTCTGATATCACATCATAACACATACCACCTTCTATCCAATCTTCACACCCATACTTTGCGACCTCCTTCGAATCTCTTCGACATCCTACACACACCTCTCAAATTTATCACTTCAACTCATCAACTTAAACATATCAATATCTAAAAATGATCTTCCAGAAATCTAGCGATTTGAATGGTTCTGGCAAAGGACAGCGAGTCAAAAGAAGAAGGTTAATTTCTTCTGAAGACTCCGTTGCAACGAAACGTACTACCAAAAAAATAAAAAGAATTATGCCATCGAATTCCGCCAGCGAAGCAACCCAACCACTGACCGAGTTTCTCCTTTTCGAAAAACTTCCTCAGGAGATCAGAAGAATGATATGGAATTTAACTTTCCAAAAAGACGTTGCTGTGGAGGTAAAAAAAAATGGTGGACTCTATCCCATGAAGAATGTATTTGAGACTCCCCGCATCCCTGCCCTTCTCGTTAATCGTGAAGCGAGGGAGGAAGCTCAAAGTCACATGCGGAAAACAGTCATGTTTGGATCTTTCCCCTTCAATAAACAGTCCGACACCCTCCACCTATTTTTCCCACTTCAATTCTGGGCTTGCTGGTTAGACTTCGGAGAAAGCAGTCCACTGTCTTCTCTGAAAGTCAAGCACATCGTTTTGAATGGATTCTTCTTCCGCAGATTCCTTGGAATCGACAATTCTTCAATCGATCAACTCGAACGTCGCACTCAACACTTTTTCACCATTCTCTCGAAAATGCCGGAGTTGAAAACAATTTCTGTACCCACCACCGGAAAAGATATATCTTCGCGGCACAAAAACGGGAATCAAACGGAAACAGAGGCTCAGAAGATGACGAATTTCGATCTGATTGCCAAAACTTACTGGAAAATGGCCCAAGAATTCCAGGAAAAGGATTGCCCGGAGTGGAAGATACCAAGTTTGATCTATCTAGACGACCAATCGAACAAACCGAATCATTTTTCCGCCGACGAATATTAGACTGTAGTGTTGGAAATATTTGGAGTCGGCAGACGATTTCCCCTTGCGAGACATGCTCGAAATATATTACTTTCTGTTTTATTTGTGGCTAGATAATTAGCCGGTAGCGAATTTTGTAAATTCTGGCTGGATCTTGGGCGTTATGTTTGTTTTCTTTGCACATATTGCTTATTGTGACAATTATACCATTGATGCTGATTATTATTCAGCATCAACTTAGCGTTGGAAAGAAATTGTTTATGGATATTTAGTCTGAATTGTAAAGGAGTACTTGGAGCAAATTGTATACAAATTATAACAAATTGCTAATTGATTGATTCTCATTCGTCCACGAGAAAGTGAGCTGTATTGAATATCACTAGCCGTACCATATCAATTAAGTCATCTAAATGCAATTCACTGTGAAGTCTACACGAAACTACTGAAACTGCTGAGGTTGCTGTAACTAACTACCTGGGAACAACTTTTACTGTATGCCTGCCGATGTAGTGAATGAGTATTGCTCCTATGTCTTTCACTTCATTCAAGCGATACAACAATGACTACAGCACAATCAATGTTTTGACATATTATTATTCACAGTACAAGATTATTCAAACTGTCTGATCACTGTCTAGTCTTGATCAAGCTGTAGAAAGGAGCCGTAGAAAGAAAGCTGTAGCAGTTAGTTTGAGACATATCAATCATGTTCCTTTCAACATTATATCTCCATGAAGTCTTGAATATGACCTAGCCGAGAGCTCTTATTCTTTTTTAAGACACTACAACTCCTTAACCTTCTGATGATAAGAAAGTATCACAACAATTCGATTAATAAGCAATAAATCTACCAGTGTCACTTACATGTTCTTCAACATGAAGGGCATTTCACCCCAGTCGATCAGCAGAACATATCTCATTGTGAAGGCCCTACCTTCCAAAAATGTTATTTTGCAGAGAGCTTCAGTTCAACACTCTATCGCTGCTCGTAAACCAACCGACATGGGTAAAAACTTCGGACAAGTCCATTCACGAGGTTATCGCAACCCCAGCTTCGTAGCTCCTGAACCAAAGGGGACTTCAAAATCTAGCGATGCATCCACAAAGAATGATAATTCTGATATAACTACCCGCAATCATGCTTATTATCAAAGATACAGCATTTGTGGCTTTCATCCCACTGTCTGCACTCCTGTCTGTACTCCCCCACAACCAACCAAGGGACTTTCTAAGGAAGACAAGAAGGCCAAGAAGACTGGTCATAATCAAGAAGAAATCCAGGCCAACAGGACTAGTGATAAACAAGAAGAAATCTACACCAAGAAGACTGGTCATGAACACACTTGTCCGATCCACTCATACAGTCGTGCTTACTACCAACAATTCAGTATCGATGGATTCTATCACATCGACGACAGTCCAACAGATTCTAAACCTACCAAGAAGCCTTCTACAGTAGAACCCAAAGATGACACTAAGAAAGACCATGTCTGTTCTATCACAACATGCAACCACGCCTACTTTAGAACATTCAGCATCTCAGGCTTCTACCCTGCCCCAACCAGTACACCTACAAATCCTGCATCGAGCAAACCCACCTGCATCGCACCCAAGATCAGCATGGCCGAAGCTCCAGCCCTTGCTGCAGCTTTTACTCCATCTACTTGTTTTCACCAGAAGACAAATGATCAAATGGAGCATTTGAACTTAGAACATGATATCGACACATTCGCGCAGACAATTGAAGAGCTTGGTTTCGAGACTCTTGGTATTACTGGATTTCAGGGTGTCCGAGATGATATGGAAGGAGGAAAGGGTATGATGGAGTATAATGAAAACAATAAGGAAGCTGTTAAGTCTAGAAAGGGAGGTCCAGGTCCTGTTCGTGCTGGTCTATCTGGATCTTGGCTTTTCCTTTTCCCGTTTTGATTTCAGGGTCTTGTGGTGGGAGGGTAGCTGGAGAGCGGTAGTGAGATGGAGCGGAACTCAATGGTATTTTGGTTAGCAAGCGGTGCATCTGCAAGGAACTTTGTTGTATCTGATATTTCGATAGCGTGATAAACGCTAAACGATAGGAAGGTCGGGAATTAGCGGCTTGTATGCTGATCTTCTACGGAATGCTTGTCGATAGCTATTAGCAGATCGATATTCAATTGATGCCTTCAAATAATTAGAAACATGAGTGACAGAAATGAATGTGATTTAAAATTCACATAGCTAATTGCTTACCCGTCGCTGTCCACTTGCCCGAGTACCCCCTCCATTTATTTGCGGGTATTGCGGAAACAGGTTAACGTTCCGCAACCTTCCATACCCGATTTTTACCCGGCCAATTCCTGATGTTAGAGCAATAGTTGAAAATATCAACACCAAGTGTCTAATGTTTGTTATCATTATTGAAGCTTGTCTAATACTTGTCTAATGCACCATTACAAATCGAATCACAGGAAATGGGGTATGTCGGGCGATTAGTAGGTTCTTAATAATCAAGCTGCAGGTTCTCTGAGCCTTCATATAAAGCACATGAGAAGCATTACCCTCTTAAATTCCCATTTCAACATTATTGCATATGATATCGAAGGATCTCAAATCAGACTCAAAGAATAATGACTACCACAATGAAAGCACTGCGACTTATCCGCGATGATCTAGCAGCAGCACCTAAGTTGGTCCTCCAAGATGTCCCAAGACCTACATTGATACCAAACCATGTCATCATCAAAGTCCACGCTTCGGCAATTCATCCAAGCGACCTCCTTAATTCTAAAGGTGGCTTTCCATATACCACATTTCCCCGAACTCCCGGTCGTGATTTTTCGGGAATCGTAGTGGAAGGCCCATCTAATCGAATTGGGCAAGAAGTCTATGGTACCAGTGGAAACACAATTGCCTTCACCCAGGATGGTTTCCAAGCCGAATATTGTCTCGTTCCTGAGGATGCTGTCGCGCCGAAGCCAGAAAACCTCTCGTTTACTCAGGCAGCTTGCGTTGGCGTTCCATTCACAACTGCAAGTCTTGTTCTTTCACGGGCACATACCAAGAAAGGCGAGACGGTATTGGTGACAGGCGCAAATGGTGCTGTTGGTTCGGCAATAGTTCAATTAGCGAAGTGTATGGGTTGTCGAGTGATATCTGCTACGAGAAGCGATAATTATGACATCAATGTTGCTACTGATCCAGAACTCAATGCTGTTAATGATTCAACGGATGGAAAAGGTGTGGATGTTGTGGCAGATACTGTGGGTCAACCTGCTTTGGTACAGGCTGCTGTCAATAAGCTTGCAAGAGGAGGCAGATTGGCCTTTATCGCATCACCGAGGGGTGGCGCTGATGCAGAATTGACACTGGATATGTTGAGTTTCTATCGGGGAGAAAAGTCATTGGTAGGGTGCAATACATTAGCATATGGTGTCGGGGATCTTGCGCTTCAATTGAAGGAACTGACGGGTAAGTTCGAAGAGGGTTCGTTAAAAGGAGCAGACGAAGGATCATGGATAGATATTGGGATTGAAAATGGGGTTGAAGCTTATGAAAAAGCATCACAAAGAAAGGGCGAAAAATTTGTGATTGTAATGAATTGAAATTGGGGTAATATAACCACAGGTCAAAGGACTCTGTGCATTCAATGTTGACGAAATTTAGTGTATTAAGTGCCCCGTGTCCCCCATCGTGAAGTCGATGGTCTCTTCTGCCAGGCCCAAAAACCTTTGACATCCAGATCGTCATTACCTCGAATTCTGACTTTCTTCATCTGTTCTATATCCATTGAAGCACTTGAAGAATGGCTTAAGATGCCTTCTTTGTTTAAAGTTATTCCCAAATTTACAACAGAATGCTTCCGGCTTGGGATACTTTTAACCAGGTCTTCCAAAATCCTGAATCAGAGGATCCTTGAGTTCCACATTATTACAACGAGGCAATCAACAATACTACTCGATTTTATATTCATGAATAGCTCAGATTCTGATGAGTACCGGAACACGAATTTGTCGGCCTCTCATTGACATTTAACTACAATTCCGACCCCGAACGATCAAAACCTAATCCGGAAAGAGCTTCCAGAGAGACGCAATAACGTGCAACATCCTGCCCAGGTTATATTAATGATCCCTCCGATGAGCAAGACAATAACTCAACTGACGTTTTGATTTAAAGAATGCTCGACTCATTCCCCGGGGTTCCAGAAACCCGGCCCCGAATTCCCTATTCCGGGCGGTTGAAGTGAGATATATAGGTTCAGTCGAACGCGTTATAATATAACATCCATATTCAGTAAGACTACTTTACTGGCATCCGAAGAGCATTTCATGGTCATTATTGCAGGGAAATCAAAGAGTGGTATAGATCAACTATTATAAACTCCCAGATCCTTTCCCCCTCTTCACTCCGCTTCACTTCTTAACTGATTAATGTTTCATCTCTAACCAGTCGCAACACACTTTGAAAGCTGATCATCACAATCACCAATCTCCACGTCCGACAACTCTCCATTGTTAACCGCATCCGCACAAGCATTATGCTGGATTGCACATGACCTGTCAACAGCATCCTCCATATCCGTAAAGGTGTTTCCATTTACAGAAAATGGTCGATCTGGATCCGTTGTAGTTTCAACATTTGGAGGTTGAATACCTCCCACGGCCGCTGCAGTTCCGGTTGGTGCAGGACCTGTTGAAGTCGAAGAGACTAAAACCGTGGTTGTGTTTGCGGGAACGGCAGTCAGCGTTAATTGTGCGTTAATGTTGGGTGCGGTAGCGCCATTGTTGGTGTTGTTCTGGCGAGGGAGAAGTGCGAGAGGGGTGGGTACTGGAGCATTGTTCAAGTTGACAGTCTCTCTGTTTAAATGTTAATTCATACATCGTTTTATATCCATCAGTGATGACTTACAGAGATGATGCAATATTACTCGCACGTGGTCCTAATGCACGACGGTGTACATGACGAGATGCATAGCCTAATGCGCTGTCTGAAAATGCAAGACCCACAAGAAGGAAAGTTGAGATTGCTGTGAACTTCATGATTTTAACGAGAAATAAAATTTAATTGATAAGTTCAAAAATGTTGTTCGTTATTCGTCCTGCGTGTGAAGAGAAAGGAAAGTAAAGGAGATGTGTTACACGATCAACGCGGAAAGAATGTAGCGAGGTATGAAATGAATGTGTTGTCAACTTTGAGAAAGTGACTAAAGTTGCGATCAGATGAAAATGATTAGAGAAAGTGATTGATGAAGGGAGTAATGATGCTTCCCCGCAGATTGTATATATATGCCAATGTAGAGCACCGATATCAAAGCTTTAAAGAAATGGAACGTAGATTTGCATTCGAATGTTCTTGATCTACTCTTGAGACTCCTAATTTAGATTTGCAGCATCCTATCCGATTGGCTGTTTTTACATTACTTAAGCCTTGTTTCATAGGGCAATTTTGTAACGGGAATGCTCGCCTCAAGTTTAATCCGAATATTCAAATTAATCCGATTGAGGTATGATTGCGAATTTGGGAGTTACTAGTTGTTTTACAAGATAAAGTCTTCAGACGACTGAATTGGAGCTGTTATGCAATCGGAACTTTTACTAAACCGCGACGCAAGCGATTGGCAAGGTACACCTTATGTCTTTGTAAACCGAACAAGGATAACCTCATAAGAGCATCTTCTAAGCTTGTGATCGAGACTAACTTGAATCTTCTACCACCCGAGGCGATTGTCGTCTGAGCGGCATCGACTTAGCTCATAGGGCTGACTACCCAGGTATGTACAGGAAACAAAAACGTACTTCAATCAGATCTACCCGCACCGTGCAGATCAGACATGGAGGATGACTCTACCAGAAGTCTCCATGATTGAATATGGTACTCTTGCTATCTATGGTGAAGGAAAAAGTTAAGACTTTCCATATAGAGCGAAACATGCGATGGTGAGCAAAGACGTGGTGGGGAGGTCTGACCGCCAGCTTCGCCAGCAAAAAACGTGAAACTGGACGAAGAATCTGAGGCCGGTGACGGCACATCAGTAATTCGAATGTTCTGTGTGACAAAGGTGAATTATGCGATGCATCTGATACATCATATTCAGGTCGATTATATTGATGAAACATGATTCATTTTGATCTGATGGGATGCAGTAACAATCTGACTTGTAGAGGAAGATATGGATCTAGGTCTGTCAACTCAAGAGAATATCAGACTGTCATCTGATTCTTTTCGAAGCAAAAGCCCACGGAGTTAGTAGAGTGAGAGTATCCAAAATTGCCAGAATAGCTTGAGGTTGATGTAAATAGATAGAGAGATGTCAAATGTCAAATGTCAATGTTGTCACTTGTCAGTCCAATCCAGTCTAGTTCCACAAACAGAGCATTGACCACGCACCCCTCGTTACGACGGCCGCTAGCGCCACTACAATTTTTCTGCTATCTTGTCTTCAGTCCAAGGGTCGAAATGTCATTTCCACCTCGACATCGATTTCTCTAGAAATGAATACATCTACGAGATTCTGCACCTTGTAGAGATGTCCATTCATAGCAACAACAATCAGGATACTGATCTATTGAAATTCATATTTCTCATCCTTCTTCTTGTCGAATCGATCGATCGATTACTTGAGCATTGACAGCACAAAGTTGTGATGGTTTCACGTAACCTATGAACATTTTTAATAGGAAACGGATGAGAGAGCAAGTGCTATGATGAGTACAAATCTCCTTAAGTGAGGTTATTTCCAATCAACTGTTTCATCAGCATCAGCTTTCATCCCCAATGGCTATATATGCATAGCTCTGTTGAATTACACCAACCTTGGGTCATTATCTTTGAGGTCCTGGTACCTGGCGACAAAGAAAGCAAACGAAAACTTCTTGAGATCCTCTTGTCAATCCTTTCAATTATCGCTGGTAATATCACAGAATTTGATGCCTTGACAATCATCTTTATTTTAGCTCGTGAGAAGAACAGCATATTGAATCTAGAGAAGAGGGGTCGTATAATCTTGATGATGACGAAGCAGAAACTGCAAATTTGATCATTCTTCAACGTTCATCAATTCTAAATTTCACTGCTTATCACTTGTAATTCACTGTCTCTCCTACCGTGTAAGTAACATGAGATTACACAATGACCTCAATAGTCGCCTAGTAGCGAACACTGTCTCCATCAGTGCGCGACTGAAATAATTGTCGTGATGAGCCCATCATGTACGGTCTTTGGTTTGAACGTCACAATAGTTACAGATGAGATACGGCGTTAAGTTTTCACTCTACGCGCTCTATACGGCCATTGTATCACAAGTTCAGTTATTTAAAGTTCTTCCCACATCCCCATTTTCACAACCCTCAATTTCTTCACAACCTCCACTTCATTAACGCCCATTCCAAAATTATCGACTTCCCAATCAAATTTATATCAGATTTTATCGGATTACCATATGAAACTACGTCATCTTCTTGATCTCCTTTACAATTGACTTCGCTCCCATCGCAAATCGATTTCTCGACTTGCCATATCCCTCTGATTTCAGGGCTCTGAGGAAATTTCTTCGCCATGTCCTCCTGTCAACGTGGTACCAGAAGAAAAGTTGCCAATGGCGCAAACCCTTCCCCTATATCAAAACAGACTAAACACTTTTCAAAGTAAGTCTCGGCATGCTCACCCATGATCATTGCCAGTATTGTGTGAAAGAGACTAACTTTGTTTCTTAATAGGTTTCTTGGCGATGAAGTTATCACCTTCCGAGTAGGTAACAAACTTAAGCCTATTCAAGTGCACAAAAACGTCATTTGCGAAAAGCTGGAAGTTTTCGATGCCATGCTCCGCGGGAACTTTAGTGAGGCAACATCCAAGGTCATAGACTTACCCGAGGATAACTTCAATGCATTCGAGTTGTTAGTCGAATGGTGTTATACAAATCGAATAAACATGGCAGATGAAAACACTTCCTATTCGTCCGTTAATACTAGGGTGGAGCTTTATTGTTTGGCTCATAAATACTGCGCTTTGGTTCTACAAGACTTTGTCACAAACTATCTTATTTCATGGTTCAGAATCAAGGACGGACGTGTTAGACTTGTACAGCCCCAATGGATTGCTCGTATTGAAGAAACATTCTCAGCTTCATATGATGAATTAGGAGGTATAGAAGAGCTTCCAGGACCCTTGCGTTACTTCATCCGTTTTTTGAACTCGATGGTAGTACTCGCATCTCAATCCACGCCCTCCAAGCTGGCAAAATCCTATCTGGAACCCTTTCCTTCGGAACAACTGGAACATTGGGGAAGCTTGTTTCCTGGCGTTCCAGTGGCGAAAAATTATAAACTCAACCCATTGATATCGGAACCACAAATTATCGAGAATTGGAACAGTTCATCAACAACCTGCTGCGAATATCATAACCATATCACTTCGAAGATCCTTGAATGCCCAGTTTTCAAGGAGATTAGAGGAACGGCTAAATACTCACCTGATGCTTTTGTAGTTGTTGCGAACTTCAAACGAAAATTAGAAAGCATGAAAGTATTGGATCGCATTAGGAATAATCGGAAGGTTACCACAGAACTGCTGCGTTTAACAGATGAAATAAATATGAAGGGCACGCCTTTCAATACAGCACAGGCAAATGCTGGCTTGCTTGAATTATTTTATTTGGGTGTGTTTGCATTCGAAGATGGCCAAGACGAGTCCCGCACCATTGAATTTAAGGAGGGCATGGGCATTCAACAACTATGAAACCAAGCAATGGATGTTGATTATGCTTCTGAGAGCCCGTAGTTGCCAGATTAGACTATCAATCAATAAAATAAATCTATGGGGTACATTGTTGCGCTTGTTGAAGGTTGCTGAGCTGGAAAGCTATATTGTCATGGATTGAGTGATGGGTAGCCTTGTTACATTTGAAAAATTTCACAACCAATCACTTTCTTGCAAGTAAAGATCGGAACTAATCCTCGGGAATTGATTTTACTCCAACTGTACATATACGGCGACTCGATATATAAAATGTCTAAGACACTTCTCGTGAAAAATGAAGGCAGTGAGTGAATTTAGAGGCCAATGCTACGAGTTATTTTCATTGAGTACAGGGGATTATTCCAATGTTACTCTCTCCCTCTCATGTTTCCCCTTCTAACCTACTCACGAAGCCAGACTCGCCGCAGCCAGAACTAGCATTCCAAAGTCATCCAACTGAGATAACCATCCATCTAACGTCCGATCCTGAGGCCTATTCCGAGAATTTATCAGATCTCCATAGGTAAGCCGTTCGCCTCTCATAGAATTCGTATACTCAATTTCCCACGCTTCATTTCTAGTCGCTCTCCAGAGTTTGCGAGAACAGGGTAGAGCCATATATTTTAGGCGATTTCCGTCGCAGCGATATTCTGTGACTGAGGAGGAGACGTCATAGAAGAGGTCGACAAAGAATAGTATTATAATTGTGCTGAGCATGATGCAGTCGAGTTAGTGAGATGAACTTTTGCAGGGGTAGATCTCTTCCTGAACTCGATATTGAGAATAGTTGACCTGCTTACCGGCATATAGATTCGGCTAGTGCCCATTCTTTCCACGATGGAACAACCTCATTTTGGAGGTCTTCTGCCAAGTGTGCAACCTGCATAGAGACTTTCTATCGTTTCATTAGTGTGAAGGTACGAGAGCATGGCGAATATCAAGAATGCAAATGAGATCAACTTACAATCATTGTGGAAATGAATCGAACATCGAAACTTGTTGCCTTCTCATTATCTTCCGAAAGTCGAAGAATGAAATAAATCGTTATGGCTTGAAGAGTAGCGACGGAATCTTCTATGCTATATGTTGTATACTAGCATTTTTATTATTCAGAATACACTCAGTCCAAACTCGATTCGTGAACAGACCTGGGCACATATTCTATCAATCTCCATTCTGATGCACCCCCATATGAACAAAACATTATCCTCATTCTTCACACTTATCCATTGTGCGAGGACGGCACATGTAGCTAGCGGTGCGGGGAGCGCTTTGCGGTTGTTGAAATTAGGGTGGATGAACGGTGGAAGTTCATCGTCACCTTCAGGGAGTAGCAATTGAGGGGTAGGTTGGTAAAGTGCATAGTATGTAACTTCGGTTCAGGGAGAATTGATTATTGGACAGTTTTCGAACTACAAAGGCTTTCGGTGCGTTGGGTACTGGTTGATTGTATAGCCTATAGTATGGCCCACTATCTTTTGGTTGATAGCTCGCGAGAATAGGGGATGGATCTATTGGAAATGGTCGTGGGGAAGATCTTGTAGGCTTGGTGATGAATGAAATATCCATATGTTCCGAGATTAACTCCTCAATATCGGAATTCCAATTTTCATTGTGCAGTTCGAGACTCATTATATCATCGGCGATAATATCCGAGATTTGCAATGGATTGGAAACCATGCTGGCTTCATGGACATCCAGCAATACCGGCGAAGCGACTTCTTGCAACGAAGATAAGATCAAAGATACTTCTTCAATCTTATTTACATCAGTACTAGTACAATTTGCTACTGCTGGCTCTAGAACCTTTCCTTTCAGTAACTGAGGGTCCCTCATAAATACAGCTCAAGCTCTTTTTTAGACATCGTGAGCAGCTTGGATGTATCAAATCGCATTGCGTCTTGGCCTTGGTACATGCTGAGCAAGCACGCTTCCTTGATCTTACACCACCGCGAGATCCGACTCTTTTGCAGTAAGAGATATGACGAACTTGGGATTTCTCTGCATATTCAGGTTAAATTTTCTTGCAATTTTTGATGAAAAGGGTCGACTTACTATTACCACAATCTTTTCCACAAATACTACAGGTGAACCTTTCAGGCGGGGATTCGTTCGACTCCATATATTGAAGATTGGCTTCAAGACAGAGGTATATAGAGAAAGATTGTAACCTTCGGAGAACTTTGGTAATTTTCGTCTATTCTACGGAGAGTTTTGGTTATCGGATGTTTGTTGGTAAGCAGGAAGGATTCATCGGTTGTTAATCAGAGTGGGGGTCAGGGGTATGAAATAGGTCTAGGCAAGGTGCGGATACACTTCCCTATCACGAATTCCGGCTAGAATCTGCAAATTGTTGTTGATTTTGTCAAATAACTGTCCTGTGCTACTTTTGTAGTTCAGCGTCATACTCGTGATGCTTTTCTTAACATGACGACCGTACGACGGAGGTTCGTGGATGCTTTCCAAGAAAAAATCACGTCAAGAGTTTTCCCACTGTGACGAGAGTATATAAATCGGTCAGTAGTTCCATATTCATGCAACATATATATCACAACATGAACTCTCAACTCTCAAAAACACACTGTTCAAAATGTCTCCAATTACCAACAATCAGGCAGCATGGATTCCCACAGAGAAAGGCCAAGTAAAAGTAGGACCAGGACCAATTCCTAGCCCTAGAGATAACGAAGTAGTCATCGAAGTAGCCTATGCAGCTATCAACCCAACTGACTGGAAGGTCTGTTACTCTATTCAACTCCCATCTCTTCCATTTAATTAACATCAATTAATTTCTCGATAGATGCAAGACACCCCCTATTTCAGCATGCCCTATCCCTGGATCTTCGGCGCCGACGTCTCTGGCACTATCATCCAACTTGGATCCGGCGTAAACCATTTTCAGATTGGACAACGGGTTATTGGTCAATGTGATGGAATTCTATCACGAATCGTCCAAAACACCGCGTTCCAACGTTATGCTACTTGTAGTGAGATTCTCGTTTCTGTGGTTCCGGATGACATCCCTTTGGCAAATGCAGCGGTCCTTCCTCTTGCTACCTCCACGGCTGCTGCGGGACTTTTCAAAGTCTTGTGAATGCCACTTCCGGTGCTGAATCCAGAGCCGGCGGGAAAGACGATTTTGATCTGGGGTGGAAGTTCGAGTTGTGGTGCCTCAGCAATTCAGTAAGCGCACCAATTTTTTTATTTTGCTACTGTAGACTGAACAATTGACTGATACTGAACTGTCAAGATTGGCGAAAGCAGCAGGTTACACTGTTATTACTACTGCTAGTACCCAAAACCACGACTTCGTCAAAAATATTGGCGCAACCCATGCTTTTGACCATAAATCACCCACTGTTATACAAGACATCCTGGCAATTCTTCAAACTGACGATGTCATATTCGACTGCATCGCTCTAGCGAACACACAACAAGCTTGTGCCGAAATTGCTCATAACATTGGTGCCAGAAAGTTTGCTACTGTGTTACCTCCTGCACCAAATAAGTATAATGTTGAGCCTGTTATGGGTAAGTTTTTTCCTTTTCGTTTCTAGCTGAGCAGAGCTGACATTATCATTTAGTAAATGGTCTAGATGTGGGACTTGTAGATCTCGACATCGGGGATGCAGTATGTCGGAAATACGTACCGGAGGCATTGGCCAAGGGAAAGTACTTGGCCAAGCCAGAGCCGGAAGTTCTCGAGGGCGGATTGGGCAGAGTGCAGGATGGGATTAATCTTCTTAGAAATGGTGTGTCGGCAAAGAAAGTTGTCATAGAGATTACAAGGCAGACATGATGTCTGGATACTTCATTCTTGAGTTCACCGAGCAGCTTATCTCTTTCATTCTTGGTTTCTGTAATTTTTTCAATATTTCAAATCATCAGTAAATTAGAGGTATCGCGTTCAATATCATATATTGTATCTTCATAACTTCAAAATCCGAAACGCCATTTACAATTCTTCCTCATGCACATTTATTCCTGCCTTTTTTTCCACATCCTTTTGTTCATCCACAATCTCTCCCGTCTTTTCTTCATAGTCTAAGAAAAGCCTGTCCGCAAAAGGGAACAAGGTCTTTCTTCTGGGAGCCGGCTTTAGATGTGCCATTCTCCAAATATTACCAGTAACATTCTTTCCCAAGGTCTCCACCACTGGTGTAAGAACGGGTAGTGATGCAAACAAAGTTCCGTAGCAAACTATCGCCGTAATCAAGGCAATAGACCAATATGGAAGGGAGGTATTGGCAGCCAATTGTACACATACTGTGCTACCAAGCGACCACCAAATCAAACCATGGATAAGATAGATGGTGAAAATATGGGGAAAGAGCATCAACCAAAGTTTCATGGACAAGAAACATTGAACGAAGTAACAATTTTCGATGACGAATTGAAGACCGACGGCGAATATGATTCCATTGAAACGAGGATTGAAATACTCTGGATATCCTGCGTTCGCTGTCTGGGCGATCGGAAGACCGCTCTCGGGATCCGGATGAATACCTCGTTCCACGATAGGCAAGGAGAAACCCGTCCATGCAGTGATCAGATCGTTGGATAGTGCAGCAATGGCTAGAATGAAACCAATAACGATTCCGGTCCACAGGACAAAGGCGTGGTCTTTGAACCACTTCTTGTACTTGAAGGTGACGTCTAGATCGGTGTAAAGAACTCCAAACCAGAAAAATGTGCCCCAACTTTGAGCATACCAATGGTTAATAATGCAGAATGCATAGTAGCACATGCGCTTCCAAGGCGTTTTAATCTCTCTAACCACGATACATCCCAGAAGTGTGATCCAAGAACCTTCAATTTGAACAGGGATGGTCCATAAAACACCCGTACAGTAGTTGTAGGTGATCAATGGGGCTGCATTAGGAAGCAAGTACACCAACTCAAGAATTTCAGAGATGTAATGAGCAAAATCTGTGTATGCCACTGCATAAGGCCATGTTGTCCAACTGATACTGGGGAGGTATTCTAGATACGTGAGAGCTCCCACATCGATCAAAAAGTACTCAAGCATAGCACAAGCCGCAATCGGAATCATGACACGGAACGTTCTTCCCGTCGTCTTCTCGGCTATACTTCCAAGATCACCAGTACGTAGATAACGACTGATAAGGAAGCGAGTGGATGTAATGAAGAAAAGTCCAAGAAGAATTTGATTGAGAAGATATGATCCAACGGTCTTTCGAATGATGGTCTCATAGATGTAGTGCTCGAGGGCACCAACCATACCCATTGCTGGCGAAAAGGTGAATATGAAGTGAATCAGAGTCACCAAAAGGGTTGCGATCGATATAAGCCCTGCTAAATAGTCAATTCGCTTGGTGGGTGCAGTCCGAGCGTTGATAGGTGCAGCTGGGAAAGCAATTGGGGCCGGAGCCTCTGAAACAGCGTGATTAGGAGGTGCTGGTCTAGATTTCTCAGTTTCATTGCCTTTGGTGATATCCGGCATTGAGGAGTCCTTCTTTTCTGATGTCTCTGTTGGATTTGTACTGTAAATGAACGAATTATACGGAGTAACATCGTCCAAATTTGGACGACCATCCTTACCAAAGAACAATGAACTTTGGGGTGTTACAACCATCGAGTCATTCTGGGCATCATTGAAACTGTAGAGTCTATTCTGTGAAGCTGACGGCGATATAGGATCGTTCAAAGTAAACCCACTCATGTTTGAGGTAGAATGTTGCCGAGATGCTGCGAATGGACTAATGTTTGACATACGTGCGGCTTCTTGATTGGCCGTGTCTTTGAGTGTAAGTGTTGAAGATCCGAGCGTGAAGCCAACCTTTGTTATCTCGAGGTCATCTTTCGGATTTTTGAGATCCATAGATGAGGCTCTCGTTGACATTGTTGGTGTTGTATCCGATGACGAGAGCAGTTTAGGATTGGAAATTTGGGGTGGAAGACGGTAACAGCTATGTACTTTTGGTTCTTTGGGAGTCTTGGAGTCCTTCGTAGGCCATCTTTGGAAAGTGACGTTGCAAAGTAACAGTACAGTCAGAGCCACTGAACATGAGAGGCAAATGTAAGCAAAAGTTCGGACGCCACTTTCATGGTGTATGGCCTTCCATTTTGGAATAGAATCTACCCCGAAGGCAGTATAACCACGTAATGAAGTATCATCCATCAAGCATGCATCTGTAACAGCACATCTCGTATCGAATTCTTTGTGCTGCTCTGTTGTCATGATTGACGAATTAAAAAATGATCGGGTCCATCCGAGGTTGGCTGTGGTGTTTCTTGTGGGTGGTCCAGCCGTGAAATATGAATCACCGTTCGACCAGAGCTTGAACAATAGTGGCGACGGAGTGATTGGAAACCTTTTGCTGCTTATATTCTTGGTTGATACTGAGCGAGCTAGAACATTCCCGATATAGAATTGCACTTTATCTTTGGTCCAATCCATGCGAACTTCAGTGAAATCCCAAGGATTAATTTCTGGACTGTAGGTGACATTGTTGGCCAATGTACTGAAATTGAGCCCGTTTACCCGATTTGGGAACTCGTCTGCAAGCAAAGTATTGATCCACGCATCTGTAGGCTTTTGAGCGTTCAAACTATTGATCTGGATATTTTGTGTCTCGTTGTACTTAAGAAGCATTGACATGCCGGTACCTCCAGTCCAAGCTTGAGCTGGACGAATGGTTGATCTGAAAGAACCGTATTGAATATCAGATCTTAAAGTTCTGATCGCGCTACCTTTGACGAGATGTTCAGAGGTTGGTGGATTTATCGTGAATTCCAGTGATGTCGAGTTTGTGATCTGAACATTTGACGGATCGGCACCTGAACGGTACTGTGCATTCCAGCTCTTCTCGTACTTGTTTTCATATTCTTGGCTCTGGAATACCTCCGACGGGAATGTGGTCGTTTCGTTGAAGTAAACAATCAAGAAGTCGGTAAATAGGTTCTCTGTCGCTGGATCATAATAACCACAAGAGCAATTCGATGTTGAATCTGCTCCGGTGTTGGTTATTAGACTCAGGGCGAAACCGACGAAGCAAAGAGTAAGGTAATGCATCCTGATCAAAGGATAGAGAATGAAAAACGAAGAATCAGGATAGAGAGGATGCCGACCTGTAATGATTCTTTGAAATAATGCAAGAACTCTACGCAATTTTCATCTTGATAACAGGGCTGTTGATAAGACCAATCAGCTTGTCTAGATCGAGACGTTCATTCTGCAGGGAGCTCCCAAAGCGGACAAACTAGTACATGGAACTACCAGTACGTTTTTGAGCATTCAGGCTGATCAATGGATCACAATTAGTCTTAAATTTAGGATATTAAAAATGATGGCAAGCACCAAGTCCGCTGTTTATCCTCTAAGTGGCCAATGCCTGCATGCAGATCCCAGAAGCACGTCCTATCCAGCACTTGGGTACACGTTCCAAGTCAGTAATCAGCTGATTCAGCTCAAAGCTCCACAATGCGTGAAGTTTTTCCTTATTTTCGAACTAGTCTGGTTTTCTGGGATTTTATTGCTTTGGTTTGCGCTGCGACGGCACTGACTTGCTTCTCCAGATTCGCACAGATATTCAGCAGCAGAAACTTCGGGTATATGTCATCTTTCAATGTATATCCTCTCCCCCTTTACTTGTGCGGCCAGAAAGGATACAACTTTGCCGCTAAGAACACCTTGTTAGTCCTTTTGCGGTTTACCATCTTGTGGTATGTGCATCTAGCTTCGGAGTTGCATACTTTCTGGCAGCACAAGTACCAACCAGTACAACACATTGAGATGAGCTGGTCGCCTTGGAATCTGAGATTCGTCTCCGTGTATATTTTTATTCTAGGGTAGCGGTCGATCGAGTGCTTCTTTTTTGGTTTTCAAGCGTGAGATCTTTTCATGGCGAGTTTCAGCATGTATGCTTATTCTGAAGCCACATATCCCAGGACAGCATCGAGATCCGAAGATGATGGGGTGAATACCATGAAAGTTCAAGGACATCCACCCTCCTTCAGGGGCAGCAGGAATCGGGAATCTAGAGGGACGAATGTGGGTTCATACATGGTAATGTGGGATATATTGGGGGCAGGAAGATGCAAAAGTCGGAAAATAAAATTACATTGCGAGTGATTTTCACCGCCTTCTGAAAGTGGATTAGCTTAGTCACGACGGACAAATTCTCTTGGCGCGTTGCGGCTCCTTTACTTACCGAAAAACTTATCCATACTTTTTCCTACACCCACGCTCAAAGCCACGCATTATGTCACCGTCAGAAGATCCATCCGACGGTATCCTCACTCAGCAGATAGGATTCGATGGTCTTTACTAATTCGACGAGTCGCTCATTTACACCACACGGGGTCGGACATTCGGTGATTGTTTTCATAGGAACAGCTCAGCACCACAGTGGGCCTTGGAGTGAAAGATCTACAACTACCCATGCCTTGCGATTACAAAATTGGAAATCCTCAAAGTTGAAGTCCACTTCTTCAATACATACAATCATGGGTCAATATTTCTTGGCATTAGTCTTTTCGAAAGAAAACGTGTGTGCATGCAACGCTCCGAGAGTCCCGCGCTGCTAGAGCCTAGAGGGTAGACGGCGCCGTCAGCGGACGCTGATCTTGCTTGTTTTATGTCTTTGTGTTCGTCGCAAGCTCGATAAGGTGCTATCAACGTTACCGCATGAATTGCCTGAGCTGGCCCATCTTATCCCTTAGTCAAGTTGACAAGGAGCTAAGTGAACTTTCAATGCCGGAAGGGCTAGTGCGAAGCTGTAGCTTGGGCTCAAGCTGATGAGATTTATATCTTGCCATTATGTTATTATGTTATATCCAATCCCTGGACGCTGCTTTGTAAAGACTCTCGAAGTCGTAATTCCCACCATACTATCTCTGTTGATTCTTTGATCTACCTTCTTACTTCTGGTGGTGTGCTTGTCCGTTCTTTTCTATAACTTCCCAAAGTGCCAGTCATTGCATCCATCTACTGTCTCCTTACATCACTTCGACAAAATGGGAGCCTACGACAATGGAACGCTTGCAATTGAAGAACTTCCAACATACAGCAGTCCTCCGCCCTCCACTCCCCGGCGTGATGGCTCTCCAAGCTCATATATGAGCAGGACATGCAAAGATGCGCTTGTGACCATTCACGATGCTCCAACACAATCCAGCATCGACGAGAAACAGAATGTCCGGTTCTCTGTTCAAGATGAACTTGTGACTTCCCCAAGTTGCGCACAAAATTCGAAAACACCAACTTCCATCTCCATCCGCAATACCTTTGGAAGATGCTCTAATTTTATCCACGAATGGACGCCTTTTCTACTTGTCAGCTCTTATTTTGTTTCATCTATCTTTGCATATATGCTATTTCCAACAAAACTCTTAGAGGTTTTCTGGTTCATATATAATTTCACAAATTTTATCATTGCTGCGTCTACGGCACTAGAAGCATTTATGAGTATGGAACCATGTCGAGAGGCGCGTCTTGTTGTTACGAAAGCCGCTGAAAAGGGCTGGAAGTTCCCTACACCAGATGATGACTTATTGATCGTGGACATTGTCATTGTCGCATATCTTCCAAATGAACAAGACATCATAATGGATCGAATAAATTATGCGTGTGAGAAGTTGGAGTATCCAGTTGACAAAATTCGCATAAACATCGTTTACAACACACCTTCTCCAATTCAACCCCTCGAGGAAGAAATGTGGGAAGCGACCGCCAAATATCCACAGCTTCGAATCATCAAGGTTGAAGGCTCTACATCGAAAGCTGACAATCTAAATTACTATCTCAGTCTAGACACCGGCTCTGATGTCACTGCTATATATGACTGTGATCACTACATACATCCCCATAGCCCTCGATGGGCAATTGAACGTTTCATCAAGGAGAAGGGCAAGATTGATATCGTTCAAGGCCGATGCATCGTTTTCAACACAGGTGCTTCGTTCCTCACAAGTCTCATCAGCATAGAATTTGACAAGATTTACGCCGTTTCACATCCTGGAAGAGCAACCATCTGGGGCTTTGGTCTATTTACAGGATCCAATGGATACTGGAGAACAGCACTTCTTCGAGATGTAAAGATGGATGAGAATATGCTCACTGAAGATATTGACTCTGCCCTTCGAACTGTAGGCCGAGGATGTAATATCGTTCACGATCTCAATGTTGTGTCATATGAGTTGGCACCTACAACTTTTGGAGCATTCTGGAAACAACGTCTAAGATGGGCACAAGGATGGGCACAGTGAGTTCTATTTTCCCCAAAATCTTTTCTTTGATCTGCAATACTGACTCCTTCAACAGGGCAAGCTTGAAACATTCGATTCTGACCTTCAATCGAGCCAAAGAAGGGAAGAGAATTTTCACAACACGATTTGGACTGCTCAATCTGTTGCTCATTCGTGAGCTCAGTTATTACTTGGTCACCCAATTTGCCTGCTTGGTAGCAAGCTTCATTTTCCTCAATTTCCCCTTGACCCCAGCCGCGTTCTGGAAGACTGTCTTCTTCCAATATCCAATTTCTGAGTGGTTCTTTTTCGTTAGGTAAGATTTCCATATCCACTCATTGATTCCCTTACTAATTTGATCAACAGCATTTTCTGTTTGATTGGCACACTCTGGGTCACCAATCAAGTTAAATCCGAGTTTGCGTCACGATGGATGATCATCAAGTTCTCGATCGCCTATCCATTTTATCTGCTATTTTTGGCCACCATAGGTCTGTATGGACATGCTCGACAGTTGGTTAAATATTCATCTTGGAACCCTACTGCAAGAACGTAGATGGTATGAATAACTTGATGATTTTGGATATACATTTTAATTGGAGATTTTCTGGACGGCATTTTGGGATAAAAACCTAGAATATGGAGTTGCATTGGCTTTAATGCCTGCTAAAAGTTTATGTTATTTTGCCAATCTTCTTATCAAAACCTTGAGTGTGCTATTGTTGTCTTTGCCGCCGGAATTTCTGTTTCTTCAACATACGGAGCATTGTGAAATGCTTCACGTGCCAAAATATTTTCGTGTATGTACCCCTGACATTCTGACTACAAGCAATAACTGTAAGGGCGATGAGGTGATAAGCTCATTTAGATACAACTCCTCCATCCCTACTGGAATCAGTGGAACTTGGAATTTGGTAGCAACAGCATGGATATCGATAGCGAACTTTCCCATGTTCATTTCCCATCCTGTTTTGGTCGGTCTAAGCTTAATGTTTAAGGCCTAGTCGTCACAGATTGAATAGGTTTTCCATTTCGATATTAAATGATCGACATAACCGGGTATCGCACCTCTGCATCCCCTGTAATCTTCATTAAATCCGAAAAACATCGTTTCCACTTAAATCTCAACTCCCACTATTCTAAAAACGAATCTGCCGTTCGAAGATAAGATAACACACGAAGCGACGAAAATACTATGTGCGCGAAAAAGAAAGAATACCCCAAGGTGTTACTCTTTTCCCCAGCATACATAAAAAAGAAAAATCTAGATCTTAGTTTACTACGCAGTCTAAGAATACTCTTTTGGAGACCATATTGATACTACCATATGAGATCAAAATCTCGGCGCGTTGACTTAGATGTACAGTTGAGTTGTTGGGTGTACATCAATCTACCTACCTTCTAGACCTGACAAACTGAGATACCCTTCACCGTACACTGTCACAAATGTGATTCATAGGGAAAGTCACCTTACCCACAAGCTAGAGTACGTGATTGGAGGGACCTCTTACGTGAGTAGCCCCTTTCCAAATTTTGCTTTAGTTTGATTGGAGATCATGCCGAATCTGGCGAACCACGCGAGAGCTATCCCCACAATACACTTTTTCACCTTTCTGACAGCGTAGCTCAACTTGTCCAGCTTATTAGACGGCAGATATCAAGAGGTTTCTTAGAGGGATTCGGGGACCACCTCTGGAGTATCGGACAAAGTATCATTCCTAGCGAATGGCGTGCTGAACTAGGTACCTAGCTATCGCTAATCCTGATAAAAATCAATAAAACATTGCCGTATATCAACCTTATAATATAGACTGTTGGAAACTTTCA